TTGCCATTGCCTGCTTCCTAGGGATGAAAAAAAGGGACTGGCCTAAGATCACCCACCTGACTTGGTGTCTGAGGCAGGATTAGAATTCACATTCTCCCACTTTCTAGCATGGTGCCTTAACCATTACATTAATCCGGCTCCAAACACTGCTTTAGGCACTTTAAAAAACAGTTTCTAATATGGTGTGGGAATCTATTGTTCAAAAAAACCCACAACACTTCAGTATCTTTCCTTTGGAACACAAAAACAACTGGATTGGACCATTCTGCACCAACATATTGCTGTTTTTAGTGGTCAACCAGGTTGTTTTCAGGAAGTCCACAAGGAGGACTTGAAAAGAATAAACTCACTTCCAATTATTATTGCTATCAAATAGCATCTCCAGGGTATCTGAGGAATCGCCTGATCCCATTGGGACTAACCAGTCCAACTCATTACAGCAGAAAGGAGTTACTTCAGATCTTGTCAACCAAAGAATTTTGACTGACAGGGTCCACAGAAGAGATTTTGCTGCTTCCCCCCCCCCCTTTCTGGAATATTCTCTTGTCAGAGGCAAGATCTACCTTCACACTCCTGGTCTTCTGGAAGAGCCTAAAAACTTGGCTGTGCTGCTTGGCCTGGGACCCCGACAGGCCCACTACACTGGGGGTGGCTGACAGGACAAAGATGATTTTCTTTCCCAGGCTGCCCATCATCCTGTTTTTTTTAGTTTTTATCTTTGATTATAATTTAATTGCTTTTTGCACTTTTTAGCTTTTATTATAGCCACCCAGAGTCACTGTATCATTGAAATGGGTGGCATACAAATCCAATAAATACAGGTAGTCCTTGACTTGCTACTTACTTGACTTACTTACTAAGTCCTTGCTTAGTGACCGTTTGAACTTACAACGGCACTGAAAAAAGTTACTTATGACCATTTTTCACACGTATGACCTTTGCAGCATCCCCCCCCATGGTCATGTGATTTACATTCAGTTGCTTGACAACTGACTCACATTTATGACAGTTAAAGTGTGCCAGGGTCAGGTGATCTCCTTTCGCGACCTTCTGACAAGCAAAGTCAATGTGGGAAGCCAGATTCACTTCACAACCGGGTTACTAATTTCACAACTGCAGTGATTCACTTAGCAACTGTGGCGGGAAAAGTTGTATGTACAATGGGGCAAAACTCACTTAACAAAGTTCTTAGCAATATACATTTTGGGTTCCGTCGTGGTCATAAGTTGAGGTCTACCTGTAAATAAATTCTGTTTGTGATAAGTCCATAATCATTTGTGATATGTTGCTTTAGAGAAAAAGCTTTGATTAGAGAAACATACGTAGATAACACTAACATTATGGTGTGTGGAGTCATAAATTTTATGTCCTCAAACAAATAGAGCTCCATGTCAACCTTTCATGCAAATAGAGACCAGAAATGCAGAATCCAACTGCTGCATCATTAGTAGAGATTGACTTTATTAGCCTAACACATTGAGCCATGTAATGGTTTGACCTAGGTTATTATCCAACCAATTCCAGGAATCAAACTGCTGTTAAGGCAGACTCCTCTCCATTTATTTTTATCAACCTCAGGGGACAAAATACGTGATCAGGAAAGCATCTGACTGCAGGCATCTGGTACAGACCAAGATGATGAAAAATAATGAAATGTACATCATAGCATCCATCACATTACACTCCAGTCTTTTGCTCATTCATAAATCTCAAGTTTGTGCTGTTATGGTGATGATACACATAATTTGCCCTGTCATGGCCTGCTATGGATGCCTGGTATGTATTTATTGGATTTACCATATCTACAGCTCACTGCAGTTAACCCATTGCTGGGAATCTTCTGATTACATTCAATACTTCTCTTTTAATTTAATTAGGGAAGTGTGAATCCTAGTATTATGAGAAAAGGAAGACTTACTCCATCTCTTTTCTAGTTAACAAACAGAAAAAAGTACTCTCCTTAACTAACACTAGCAATAATAATGTTACCTAGTTAGGGTAATGAAAAATATGCAAGAAAACAAGCAAGCTCAGAGAACATCAAGGACCCCTCTCCTTTAACTAATAGTATTTTGGTTCTTTTCTGAAGTCTTCCAATTCTAGAATATTCTTGCTGGGGTAAAGCAACAGAACTTCCTACAGCACAAATCACTTAAACCCATTCCTTCATCCATACATCATATGAAAATGCATTACTCACAGAACAGGGCTGGGCTTCCAAGCCCTAAACTCGGTATCTAGAAATCAACCATGGATGCTTCAGAAAAAAATGCTTGTGGGTTTTCCTTTCAGGATTTCCAAATATGTGGACATTGAGAGGACAGGGATGGATCTGCATAACCCATTCTGTGATTCAGGGACAGATGTCAATTCCGATTACTAAGTTGGACCCAAATGCAAATATGGTATGAGGACATCTGAAGTATCCCCATGAACATTCATGTCAGCTGCAAAACATTTTCTTAATCTCACAATTTGCCTCAATATGTCTTTGTCCCTATATTTAAAGGCTGTTGTAACTACACAAGGTCAAAAAAATACTCCATTATTAGATTCCTAATATTTCCAAGGAATTTGAAGTTTTAAGTTACATTTACAATAACTTTTCCTCAAAGGAATATATTCAACGAGTCTAATACTGTTACTGAAAACAACTGTATTCTTTCTACCTTAACGACATTAAAATTACGATTTGGAATAAACTGAATTTCTTCAGTCTTAGCGGATCTTATTTTCTATAATGAGGCACTGGGAAAAGATCAAATGAACTACTAATAAGTTCCACACAGTGGTGGAATTCAAATTTTTTTACTACTGGTTCTGTGGGTGTGGCTTGGTGGGTGTGGCAGGGGAAGGATACTGCAAAATCCCCATTCCCTCCCCACTCCTGGGAGAAGGATATTGCAAAATCTCCATTCCCACCCCACTCTGGGGCCAGTCAGAGGTTGCATTTCCGGTTCTCCGAACTACTCAAAATTTCCGCTACCGGTTCTCCAGGACCTGTCAGAACCTGGTGAATAGCACCCCTGGTCCTACAACAAATTAAGAACAAACGCTATGGAGGAGAAATATTCCTAATTAAATGGAGTTATTGCTGTCCTGCAAAAACTCAAGAAGGCTTTTGTCTCCATTTTCTTTCAAAGTAGGAAAGAAAGAAGGAAGGGCTGAGAAAATTATACTTAAAAGAAGTTTAGTTTCCTGTATCATCACCATACACCAGCTGTCATACTTTTTATTCACAAAACATCTTCTTTCACACCATGATTTCAAAATATTTACAGTGATTTCATGGAAGGTCCACACCATACCTTAATTATTCCTTCTCCCTGTGAAGTTGAGAAGCAAGCTCAGTCTTGTTTTCTGGATTTGAATCAACATCCACCCTTTTCTCAACACCAGTTGGCTTCAGGCTGAGGTCTTGGCTCTTCACATTGAAAGCAGAGTTAACTTTGTGGTTTTTAAGATGGAGTTTGAATGCTCATGAAATGAACATGGAAGGACTAGGAAAAACATACCAGTTGCTTCAAGTCATTTATGCATGAATGGTTTTGCTGTAATTATACTGCTGTGCACTGGGACAAGTTAAAAATAATTATTACCCATAAGACAGATTTCACTTTAGAGGGAAAACAGCGAGGAAATTTGTTAGATGCAGTTTTCGACCATGCCATCACAAATATCTTCATTTTAAAAATTATACCTCCTATTTGTGTCTTTTGGTTTTTTTGCTTTAAAAGGATAGCCAACTATGCCATTCCAGAATGTGCATAGCATGTCATGAACACCTCTCCAATTATCTTTTTGCAGTTTAAGGCTGCAAAAATTCATTCGCATCCTGGACATAAATTGTTTCAACTTTTACCTTCAAAACGATGCTGTAGAGCACTGCATACCAGAACAACTAGATACAAGTAGAGTTTTTTTCCCCAACGCTATCACTCTGCTAAACAAATAATTCCCTCAACACTGTCAAACTAGTTACTAAGTCTGCACTACTATTAATCTGCTCATCATTCCTGTGGGGAATGATGAGGGGGCATCTATGATCTGGAATGAGCTCCCCACGGAGATACAGAGGATCCCGGATCTGCGCACCTTCCGTCGCGCGCTTAAGACTTTTTTATTTCATCAAGCTGGCCTGGCCTAAATCTTCTCCACTTTTTAAATGTAAATTTTAATTTGTTTTTAAATTATGGGGTATTTTAAATTTCTTCAGCCAAATTGTTTAATTCGTTTTTATTCTATTTTAAATTTTTGTATTTATGTGTTTTATTCTGTGGCTGTTCAACGCCCTGAGTCCTTCGGGAGTAGGGCGGTATAGAAATTTAATAAAAATAAATAAAATAAATAAAATTCCTATCATCCATCTCCTCCCACTTACAACTGTATGACTGTAATCTTGTTGCTGGTATCCTTATGGTTTATATTGACTGTTTCCTAATATGATTTGATTGCTTGTTTGTTCCCCATGACTATCATTAAATGTTGTACCTTATGATTCTTGACGAATGTATCTTTTCTTTTATGTACACTTTTATGTACACTGAGAGCGCAGCAAGACAAATTCCTTGTGTGTCCAATCACACTTGGCCAATAAAGAATTCTATTCTATTTTGCTTAACTCTCACCAAGACCCCAAAATGCAGAAAAAAGGGGAAGGGGCTGGAATTTTCAGGCAGCAGGAAAAGCATCAAAAATCAAACATCTATAACCAAAGCCCATGAATTTATTTCCCTAAAATTGTGCTAAAAGACTATACCCCAGTGATGAATATGCATTATAGTGAAAGAATGAATAATTGCTTGATCAAAATTCCTTAAGAGCCATTGTTATTAACAGGGAGAAATATAAACTACAAAATCACTAAGGAACAATATTCATATTTTTTACTGACAGTCCACACTATAAAGGCAAAAGGAAATTAGTATCAGTTTGCCATACTCCTTCAATTAGCTAAAAATGCCTTATGACATTTTGTAAGAAAAGAATCCAGACACCAGTGAGAAACACAAATACTTTTTATGTTTGATCAGACATTGAAACAGAAGACTTTTTTCCCCAGAAATCTTTTGCAACTACTGTTACATAAAGAGTGAAGTTACAAAAACTGCTGACAGAGCAACAGTGAAAAGCACCAAGAATAACTGGAAAAGCATGCACTGGTACAGCTGAACAGCTCTCACCTTGGACACTTGCCTATGGACTAACCCTACTCAACCTCTAAGCTTCATCCTCCTCTCCTTCCTCCTCAAACTCTCCTTGCTCATCTGCAGTAGCATCTTGATACTGCTGGTACTCGGAGACCAGGTCATTCATGTTGCTCTCAGCTTCCGTGAACTCCATCTCATCCATGCCTTCGCCGGTGTACCAGTGCAAGAAAGCCTTCCGCCGGAACATGGCTGTGAACTGCTCAGAGATCCTCTTGAAGAGCTCCTGGATTGCGGTGCTGTTGCCGATGAAGGTGGCAGACATCTTCAGGCCTCGGGGAGGAATGTCACACACGGCCGTCTTCACGTTGTTGGGGATCCACTCCACAAAGTAGCTGCTGTTCTTGTTCTGGACATTCAGCATCTGCTCATCCACCTCCTTCATGGACATTCTGCCCCGGAAGATGGCTGCCACTGTCAGGTATCGGCCGTGGCGGGGGTCACAGGCCGCCATCATGTTTTTAGAATCAAACATCTGCTGAGTCAGCTCCGGGACCGTCAGGGCACGATATTGCTGGCTGCCACGACTTGTCAAGGGAGCAAAGCCCGGCATGAAGAAGTGCAGACGAGGGAAAGGCACCATGTTGACCGCCAGCTTGCGAAGATCTGCGTTCAGTTGGCCGGGGAACCGGAGGCAGGTAGTCACTCCGCTCATGGTGGCAGACACCAAGTGGTTGAGATCGCCATAGGTTGGAGTTGTGAGTTTCAGTGTGCGGAAGCAGATGTCATACAGAGCCTCATTGTCAATACAGTAGGTTTCATCCGTGTTCTCTACCAGCTGGTGGACAGAGAGGGTGGCATTGTATGGCTCAACCACCGTGTCTGACACTTTTGGAGATGGCATTACACTGAAGGTGTTCATGATCCTATCGGGATACTCCTCCCTAATCTTGCTGATGAGAAGTGTTCCCATGCCAGATCCAGTGCCCCCACCCAACGAGTGGGTGAGTTGGAAGCCCTGTAAGCAATCGCAGCTTTCAGATTCCTTCCTTACTACATCCAGCACCGAATCCACTAGCTCAGCTCCCTCTGTGTAGTGGCCCTTGGCCCAGTTGTTCCCAGCACCACTCTGGCCTAAAAGAAAAAAAATATCCAGAAGAAAATAGTTAATAATTATTTCGCAAATATTACCTTGCACCACGCATATGTAGAAACTATTTGTACGCTTCAGTTGTATTTTGGTCAAATTCTAAAAACAGCTCTTTAAATTACTATGCCACCAAAACACACACAGGAGATGCATTACTATAAATATTTTGCAGGTTGTCCTCCTTTAGTGACTGCCTCAGACAGCAACTGTTCAGTTATGACAATGATGAAAAAGTTTGTGACCAATCCTCGCATATACAGCCTTTGCAGCTGAAGTTCAATCACGAAATTGTGATTTTTCACTCAATAACCACTTTGCTTATCTACCAACTTGCTGGTCTCAATTGTTGCTAAATGAGGACTGCTTTTATAGCCTTATGATCAGAGAAGATGCAGCTGTTTTAACGAGCTACCCACAGATCCGATGCCAATGTCCTTGCACATACCAAATCATTTTCTTTCCTTTATATCCGAGCACGCCAAGGCTGCATTTAAATATAATCAGTGTTTCACACATAATACTAAAGCCAAAATGAAGCTTTTATTCTCAGCCTAACATATCACATATATCCTGCCCCTGTAATTTATTCATCTGAACCCAGACACCATTTATTATAAATAGGGTAGATACTGCTACTGATTTTTGACCTGTAACCTATTCTAGGGAACTAATTTCTCCAAGGCTCCAAGACTTATTTAGCCACAAATTTCCCTTGCCTAGAGATGCTTGACTCTTTTTTGGGTCTACTTTCAATAAAGACTGAAAAAGTTTTTGTCCCATGCAGATGAAGTTGATTTAAAAGAATCAGTAGTCTGTCCTTCACATGTGCTCTTTATAGATGTTGAATTCAAATGACTTAAAACAAGTCTAGGTTTTCACAATTCATGGAAACTACAGCAATTGGCTTCCCTCAGCACTGGCCATGCTGCTGAAGAGTGTTGGAAGTCATTATTTTAAAATGTATGGAAGACCACTTGGTGCCCACCCCTGCTCTTGTGCCAAAAAACAACACCATCCCATTATTTTCCATTGACAGTTTCCATTGAGAATGGCCAATTTGCTTTTCAAACACAATTGAGTATTTTTAAAGAGAAGCCATGTAGATCAGCTACACACCAAAGACAAAATTATCAGGCCTAAAGATCTGGCCAAAAGGTCCAGATCTGACCGAGTCCATTGTGCCAGGCTCCAAGTCAACGAGGATTGCACGGGGAACATACTTGTTACCTGTGTGGAAAAGACAAAATAGCCAGTATTACTGATCCAACCAATTAAAAGAAAAAAGAAACACAAAGCTGCTTCCATGCTCTTGGCAATTCATTGCTATTTGGTGAAGAAACACACAGCTATGATACAGACAAATAGAAGGGGAGGTGTACATTTAAAGGAGACAGCCTGATGCACGGATGGCCAATCTTTTGGCTAGCCTGAGTCACTTTGAGGAATTGTTTTGGGCCACATATAAAATATACAATGTAGTAATGTATATAAATCACATGCAGGTAGTCCTCAACTTACAACAATTCATTTAATGACCGTTCAAAATTACAGCGGCACTTAAAAAATGACTTATGACTGTTTTTCATACTGATGACCATTGCAGCATCCCCATGGTCATGTGATCAGAATTCAGATGCTTGGCAACCTGTTCACATTTATGACAGTTGTAGTGTCCTAGGGTCATGCGATCCGCTTTTGTGACCTTCTGACAAGCAGTCAATGGGGAAATCCCAATTCACTTTAACAATCGTGTTACTAATTTAACAAATGCATTGATTTGCTTAACAATTGTGAAAAGTCATAAAATTGGGCAAACCCACCTAATAAATGTTTCAGATAGCAACATAAATTTTGGGGCTCAATTGTGGTCCTAACTCGAGGACTACCTGTAATAGGGTTTACTATCTTGTGGGCCACATTATTAGCTGTCGAGGGCTGCATGCGGTCCACAGCCAGACATGCCTGAGCTAAAGAAACAAGGATGGAATTTCAAGTAGGCATTCATTCATTGCGAGGGATTTAACCAGACTGCTTTATCAACGATTTGTCACACTTTGCTCTCAGTGGCTGCCTTCTTTCTTCTAATGTAAAATTCAGGGCACAAACGTATCACAGTTTTTCTCTTCCCCACCCCCTACCCCAGTTACCAGTTGCTTCATTGTAGTAGACATTGATCCTCTCCAGCTGCAGGTCGCTGTCTCCATGGTAGCTGCCGGTGGGGTCAATGCCATGCTCATCGCTGATGACTTCCCAGAACTGGAATGGGATTTTTGAGAGCTGTTAGCAACTGTGTTCAAAATGCCAGGAAGCTGCAGCAGCACGTGCTTCTTGGAGGCAACACCCTGTCTAATTCTGCTGTCAGAGCTGCTGTTGCTACCCTAGCAGAAATCAAGGCAGCTCTGTCAAAAGGAAGGTGATTTTAAAGTACGAAGAGATGACACAGTTACAGCTGAAGGCAGAAAGAGGTTCTATCTGTCACTGACTTGCCATTAATTCTAAAAAAAAGAACCCCTTCTTCTGTATTCTTGCCCAGAAGGAGGGTTGGGGACCATAAATGAAAGACAGCAGCTGCTCCTGCTCTTTATTATTTTCAGATACGTTCTAGTTAAAAATAGTCCTGTTTTTTCCCCTTTATGTTCAATGTTCTTTACGAAACAACACTGTACAATTTTACATCAAAGAGTTTTTATTAACAGCTGTCTCTAGAAAAAAAATGAAGAAAATATTTTGCCCAGACTCGGTGCTCCACATTAGAATAACTGAAGATGTAGGATCGTGAGATTCACACACCTACCTACAAAACAAAACAAAAAACCCAGTTTTCTTTCCCGAGATATAAAACAAATGTTCACATTTGACTTCATCTGATTGAGGTCCCTTAAAAAAAGGAACCAGTGGTCCTTAGTATTTTTAAGATCTACGGAATGCGTGCTGAACATTTTCCGACTGCCTTAGAGGGGTGGGGTTGCAGAAGGCTTAAAACCGCCCAGCGCTGGATCGATCCTATTTCCAACCTTCAGAGCAGCTAACGGTTTGGGTCCCAATTTTCCCAGGAGACTAGCCAGTCTGCTTCTGTGTGGTGGTGTCGAAAGCACCAACAATGGGTGCCACCAACCAGATCTGCCTAGATGGCAGCGAAGAGTTAAGATTCTTTTCTACCCGCAGCCTCCAATTGTTAGCTGCATTTCACATTCAATATAGTCTCACCAGCCTCCTGAAAAATTAATATGTTAGAATTGCAGGGGACTATTAATTCTATACCTTGTGCCTTTTGCTGGAACTGAAATTCCAGAATTCTGTTCCAATTAAATTATATGTAGTGAGTCCTCTAGTTTTCTAGGTGAAGGTTCCCCTCGCACATATGTGCTAGTCGTTCCCGACTCTAGGGGGCGGTGCTCATCTCCGTTTCAAAGCCGAAGAGCCAGCGCTGTCCAAAGACCTCTCCGCGGTCATGTAGCCGGCATGGCTAAACGCCAAAGGCGCACAGAACGCTGTTACCTTCCCACCAAAGATCGTCCCTATTTTTTTCTACTTGCATTTTTTACGTGCTTTCGAACTGCTAGGTTGGCAGAAGCTGGGACAAGTCACGGGAGCTCACCCCGTTACGCAGTCTATCTCCGCACTAATATATAATAGAGGGTACGTCTGAATGGAAGGGGAGTAAGGAAGGGTGTGGCCAAGGTCTCTCTACTTGGCTCAACAGAATCCCTGTTTTCTCACCAAGTCGCCCAAACCTGACATCTCTTTTTTTTCCCCCGATCGCGCATTAAAAAGCAACGGGGGGGGGGGAGACACGCCTTTTTTCCCCCCTCCCCGGGTAAAGCTCGCCCGCCGGCTACCTTTTCTTTGTGCCACAGCGATGAACCTTACTATGAACGCCGAACAAGCGCTCTCCCCTCCCTTCCACTGAAGCGGAACAAAGGAAAAAAAGGTGCAACCGATTGGCGATCTATCTATCTATCTATCTATCTATCTATCTATCTATCTATCTATCTATCTTCAGAAAGAGAGAAATGTGGATTTGGAGAGCACAGTATTGGGGTTACCCCACCATCTGCTGCAGGTGGAAGGAAATGACTGCCCCGCCCACAGATGCAGAGACACCCGGGGACACTTTTGACTCCCACCCCGCCGCGAAGCCTTCGTCCCCCTCTCCTCTCTTCGCCCAGGGTACCTTGGCTCCGATCTGGTTCCCGCACTGGCCGGCTTGGATGTGGACGATCTCACGCATGGCGACGGCTTTCTTCTGAGCTCACACCCACCCCCTCAGTGGCCGCTGCTTCAGCCTCCTGCCTCAACCCCACCTGCTCTCGCGCCGGCAACCTGCGACAGGGAAAGGGCTCGTTCCGCGAGCCTCCTTTTATACCGGGAGCCTCGGCTCGCCGCCCTTCTGCAGCCCAAGCCCCGCCCGTTTCCACCCAAGCCCCGCCTCTCCTCGGGTGATGTAATGCGGCTCTGGAGAGGCGCGCAGGGGGCGACCGCGGCAAAAAAAAAAAAAAAAAAAAGAAGGCTGGGAGTCGTCTATGCTACCACCACGGGGAGAGGCAGGTTGCTTGCAGTCTTTTATATATATATATATAAATATTATAAATATATATATATCGACGGGGGAGGTGGGGAAGTGGTTCGCGATCCGTCAAATTGACTCCCTTCTTCTATTCCACAACCGAGAGTTCGACAGCAAAAAACAACAACAAAACCCTCCAATATTGTACTAGTCGTAGTAATATAATAGTAAAGCGTAGTGCAGAAATAAGGGGAAAAGCGGTATCGAACTTGCTTTCGAGGGCTTTTCTCGACAGCAAGAGAGGCGGAAAGGGTGTTCGATTCCTCAAAGCAACCACCAGATCCATTTTAAGCTCGCGGGTGGGGGCGATCACCACAGTGCCCCACCCCGGGGGGGGGGAAACATAATTCCTCCACGCGTATTGCCCTCCTCTGCCGATTTGAACCCCACCCCTCATCTCACCCCCACCCCCGGCAGAGAAAATGCGGCTCGGATCAGAGAAGGGACCGAAAGGAATCTCTGGCTTTGGTTCGAGCCTCCTGCTGCCCTTCAACACCCCCCCTCCCCCAAATCCTCCCCCCAGCGGTCTTTTTTAGGGTTTAGCCGGCAGGAGGAGCCAGGGTGGGTGGGGAGCGCTCTCAACTTTTTTTTTTAAGGCTGAAGCAGCGCTTTGTTCTTGGTTTCTCCTCAGGGGGAGGGGAAAAAAAGAGAGAGGGGGCTAAGTAAGGCGCTAGAGAGGAGGGGGGAGGAGGAGGAGGAGGCGAAAAAAATAAACTGCAACGTCTGGGCTTTTCGGGCTCCGAGCATCCATCAGAGAGCGCTTTACACCGCGCCCTCCGACTCCGGTACCCCCAACTCTTTTGTTCCTTCGGAGGCTCGCCCGCCCCCTTTGCAGTAGCAGCAGCAGCAACGCTGCAAAAAGTGGTCGAGAGCAGGGGCGGGTCCATCGCTGCAGCGTCTCCTGTTTCCCACGTGCTCTCTTCCCACACACACACACACACACACGCCCCGCGCCCTTTCGAGAACCTACTACACCATCTGTTTGCGGATCGAGCCCTCCGCTTCTTCGCTTCCTCCAGGAGCCCAGCCTTAAGCGGCGCTTGCGGGAGAGGAGAGGAAAAAAAAAAAAAAACCCAACTCTGGTTCCCAGCTTTGTAGACAACTGGTAGCCTTCGTTAATGTTTCCCCCCCCCCCCCTATCTTCTCTCCCGCCCGCCCCGAATTGCAGCACCGGTTCTCTCGGTATTGAAAGCCGCTTTTTCGAGTTTTTCAAACGGATCGATCTTGTATTTTTGCACGGCGGGTCTCGTCAAGGTCGCAGTATTGTATTAGTCATAGTAATAATCGGGCAACTGGCGAGCCGGGAGAGGAAGATTTGACGGTGATGCGATCCGAAGTGTAGGGAGATAATAGCTGAGGGAGGGGGAGACAGACGAGTGGAAAAGGAGGAGAGAAAAGCTACGAGAGGCTTTTCTCACGCGGACTGGGATTTTGTAAAGAACGGAAACCGTGTCATAGCATTAAAGCACTCCAGTCGGTGCTAAGCGAAGTATTAACTCTCCGGTTTCCAGAATGTTTCAGACTGAAGAGTATTATTATCCTTCCTATTAAAAAAAATGCAATTGGTTTAATTCGGCGGATTAGGCAACTCTTTTGTCAAATTGCACAAAAGCAGGGTGCCCACTGCATCGCTTTTCCTAGATCCGCTTCTTTGTAGAGGGGTGGGGAAGTGGGGGGAATCTGGGCTGAATATCTCCGTCAGCTTCCCACGTTTTGGGGTGGGGGGGAAAACAGTCGGTTGTCCTTCAACAGATCCAACAGCTGTGATGAGAAACGGAATAGCGCTGGGGGTGGGGTGGAGTTTTCTGTGCTGCTGGTTGTTTCTGCCAATTCCTACTGTTAGTAGATGTAACTTGGAAGGAAACATAGCTCACACCCCCTGTCAACCGAGTGATCCTAAGCCACGGAGTAGCCTTTTTGTATTATTACTGTAACGCTGCTCAGGAAGTGAGTCAAGGGGATCTCATAGCTGAGGCTTTCACGTTTGCATTGGTGCAAGCCTTAATGCAGAATCTATACCTCCAGATTTTTTTAAAAAAATATATAATAGGCATCTGGATTCATTATATACTGCATAACGTATGCATTATACTGTTTCATTTTGTGCACAAAAAATGATGTCTTGTTCATCTATTAAACAAATAAATAAAGCCACCCATTCCAGCCCAAGGGAACTCTGGATGGCAAGGAAAAATAAAAAAAAAAGTGAATAGAATTGTCAATATTTATTACAATAGAAAAAAAAGTCACTCCTGTAGAGCAAACATAACCATGCCTGCTCCATCAGCATCCTGGCTCCTGGTCTTCACTGCCTTCCTCTAGGGAAGCTGTCAGGGCCAGCCATATCTTCCTATCGTTTCCATCACCCATCTCCTTCCACTTATGACTGTAACTTTGTTGCTTGTATCCTTAAGATTTATATTGATACTGTTTCCTGATTGCTTATTTGTACCCTATGACTATCATTAAGTGTTGTACCTTATGATTTTTGACGAATTTATCTTTTCTTTTATGTACACTGAGAGCATATGCACCAAAGATAAATTCCTTGTGTGTCCAATCACACTTGGCCAATAAAAAATTCTATTCTATTCTATTCTATTCTTGGGGGAGGAAAGCTGTTTCACAAAGCACCATGATTTAAAAAAAGGGGGGGCTGCTTTTGAGACTCCCATAAAGACACACGACTTCACCAAAGTGACCTGGGACATGCCCACCCTCTTTCAGATTTGGTAAAATAGTCACAAACCTCTGGGGATGAGCAATCCTGCAAGGAATATGACCCCTATGTACAGCTTTAAAATGATAGTATTAACAATTGGAGATTATTATTTTACCTTGACAATCACAGGATCTGTAGATTCATAATCACATGACATGGGATGTTATTTTGGGTGTGGGAATTTAGAAACTGAATATTCTTTTTTTTTTTTTTTTCATTTCAGCACTGGGAAAATGTGGGATAAGATTGTGTGCATTATGTCTGTCTTCTTTTGAAGAAACTTTCCTCCAAAGAACAAGCAGACACATCTCTCTATATATCTATGTGTGAATATAAATATAGATACCATGTATATTATTCACTTTCACTGTATTTCCTACTTGTTTTGAAACCTGCTAAATTCACACAATATTAATCCACATTTTAACTGTAGCCTGTTCACACATAACACTAATTTCATGCATAACAACAAGCTGTATTGTTAGGAAGTCACAATGCTGAGTTCACACTTTTTTAAAAAAATGTCTTTGAGTCAGTCTTGATTCCTGGCAACTGCTTGCAGTTTTCGTGGCAACAAATTCCCGCAGTTTTTTTGGCAAGGTTTCAGAAGTGGATTGCCAATGCAGGCTTTCTAGGAGTGAGAATGAGTGACTGGCCCAAGGTCACAAACTGGCAGGACTAGAAGTCTCTCCGTTTTTAACTTGGTACCTTAATCACCGCACCAAATTAACCTCATTTATTTTTTTAAAAGGGGGTTGGGGCTTTATATCAGCCTTGACTCCTGACATCAGCATGGGCAAGTCCCTGCAGTTTTCTTGGCAAGATTCCAGAAGTGGTTTGCCATTGCCTCCTTCCTTGGATTGAGAGAGATGACTGGCCCAAGGTCACCCAGCTGGCTTCATGCCCAAGTCATGCCTAGAACTCACAGTCTCCTGGTTTTCTGATGCCTTAATCCCTAGACCAAATTGGCTTGCACTCACTTATCATAATTTAGCTAAAAGGAAACAAATTACATTATAGTCTGGTACAATGTGTGAAACTCAGGAAAGTGCGCTGCAAAGAAACACATTCATTGGAATGTGTTGTTTAATCACATATACTGCTATGTATATTCTATACCTATATGGAAAATAGACTTAGTAAATTGAAGTATTTATGAATATAGCAAGAGAGTCAGTTTGTTCTAGTGGTTAAGGCATTAGGCTAGAACCAGGAAACCTTGTGTTCTAGTCCTGATTTAGGCATGAAAGCCAACTGGATGACTTTGGGCCAGTCACTCACTCTCAGCCTAAAGAAGGAGGGGGGTTGTCTCAGGATACAAACCAGTTGGTCATTTCCTGTTGCAACCAATGGATCAACATTTGATTGATCTGAAAAAGCAAACCCTGCACTTGGAGGAAAAATGCTAGGAAGGAGAATGAGATATATGAGTGTTGCAGGTAAATCAAGATTATCTGGGAATAAATGTCCTGGGGCATCTAAAAATATTTTAGAGAATTATGTGCATCTATAACAGTGGTGTCAAACCTGTGTTGTCATGTGATGTATTGCAACTTTTTTCCCCTTTGCTAAAACGGGGGTGGACGTAGCCAGCACGTGATGCATGCGGCCTGCAGGTTGTGAGTTTGACACTTCTGATCTATAACATGACTGGTCCATGATCTGGTAGCCGATTGGACCCTTACAGCTGAAAATGTGTCCATTCAGACAACACTAAATCTTAACATTGGCATTAAAGTCGGTATATAAACCTGTAGTCCTATGCTCATTTTCCTATATGTTAGTCCCAGGGAAGACAGCAGAACTAATTTTGCAAATGAAATTGAGTTTTATTATTTAGTTCATTTTCCAGATCTTATTTAACAGTTCGGTCATCAATCCTTACACCTTTAATTAAAAATTTTGAATTCTCGATTCTTCAGGCTGCCAGCTACAGGTATTCCTTGATTTATGACTGGTTGCTTGGTGACCATTGGAACTTATGATGAATCCACCTTGGGGCTACTTATAACCCATTTCCAAAGTTACAAGAGCTGGGCCTCTTCCATAGTCATGGGAC